CCTCCCCTCCCTCCTTTCCCCTCCCTCCCTCCCCCTCCTCCCTTCCCCTCCCCCTTCCTCCCCCCCCCCTCGTCCGTCCTCCTCCCTCCCTCCCGTCCTCGTTCTCCTTCTCGTCCTTCTGCTAAGCTCACGTCAATTTCTTGCCTCTCAGGAGCGACGAGCTGGGCGAGGCCCAAGAGGAGGTGGTGAGGGAGACGCGAGGGGGGAGGAGCAGCGAGTACAGCAGGGAGACTGCGTTACAGGACGACGATATCTACATTGTCATGTACAGGGGACAGCAGCATCTGGCCCTCAAAGTCTATCAGCTTCTTCTTCTGCCGACCGTTCAGTGCCAACTCAACTCCTCCCCGTCCTCTTCACCTTGGCGGCCTTGAGCGTTCCCACGAGAGCCTCGAAGATGTTGGAGCAGCGATCGTCATGGATCAGAGCCCCGAACTTGCACACGAGCTTCCCGTCTGCTCCTCTAGCGCAGGCGTGATCAGCTCTCTACCCTCGCAACATGCAAGAGAGCCAACCTGCTCCCCAGCCTCTCCATCTCTTCCAAGAGGAGTTTCACCTTGAGGCATCAAAACAACATCATTCCGTGCGTCAGCCTCGAAGGTTCTTGAGCGAAACCTCCTCAAGTTGCCACCTGCTCATCCAATCCTTCCAACCTTCGACAAGTTTCTTTCTCCTCTCTTCCTCCTTACATCCTACCTCGTGTCCATTCGAGATGGTTGCGCCTTTGCTATGTACATTTCATCATTTTCATCTCGTCCATGAGTTCTGACCAAGCATCCCCTCCTACCCTCTCCCAAGTTTTCCACTCCTCTCATCCCTCTTCTATCTTTTCACTCCAGACATCCCTCCCTCCTTCCTCCTCCATCGCGTTTCTCCTGCATATTCTCTCCTCTATGATCGCTACTGTACTCCTGCCTCCCTCCTGCCTGCTCCTCCCTCCTCCCTCCTTCCTCCGTCCTTCCTGCTTCCTGATTCCTGATTCTTCCTTCCTCCTTCCTCCTTCCTCTTTCCTCCTTCCTCCTTCCTGCCTGCTCCCCCTGCCCCCTCACCTCATGATCCACAGTGGCTTGATCCGCCATGATGCCAGCAACTACAACCCACCCTATCTTCCTACTAGTACCCCCACCCTCCCATTTCCCTTCTCTAAACCCTCCTGTATACCCCCATGCCGAGCGCTATAACCCACCCCACTCCACCATTCTCTTAATTCGACAAGTATGTCTCCCTACCCCCTCATAATTACCCCACCTACTGATCAACTTTCAGGAATAAACCTCTCTGATACACCCCACCCCCTATTTACCCTTTGAATACCCCATATTGAGCCGAACTTTTGTCCGACCTCGTTCGAACTGAACTACCCCCACCCTCTATTACAACAATATCCTTGTAAGACCAGCACCCCTACCCACAAAATTTGACCCCTACCCTCATTTGACCTTTGCCTGGGAACCACCCCACGAACATTTAACCCCATCCTTTCCCCGAAGGAAGCACTCAAAAGTAGGGGTCCACATTTAAATTGTTTTTGGGGCCTCGGATTTTGAATTCGAAGCCCATGGCGACGCTACACGCCTTGATGGCGCGACATGTTCACAGCTCCATCCTCCTCCATCCTCCTCCTCCTCCTCTATCCTCCTGCCTCCTCCTCCTCCTCCTCCTCTATCCTCCTGCCTCCTGCCTCCTCCTTCCTCTCCTGCCTTCTGCTCTCCCCGTATCTCACTCTCCCCAAATCCTAGCCTGCACTTCTTTGTTGTAGTGTTCGGTTCCTGCCTCAAGTAGCATACTGAGGACTCTAGGTCTAGAGCAAGGTCCATCCTGCCTTCATCAACATTGCCATGACCAGCGCAACCCTCCCCCATCTTTCAGCTTCACTGCTGAGATCCTTGTTTCAATGGCTTTTCGACAGGAGGTTGGCGGCCGCTGACTGTCTTCTTCACTCACAGATTCGAACCAAGTGTTACCCTGAAGATTGATCCTCTGTTTCACAACACAAAGCAAGAGCCATCACTTCACGTGCCATGCAATCTGGCATGTACATCAAGGGGCATCTTGTTCAGCAGAGCCTCCAGCATGATGATTCGGTGGGTTGAGGAATGAAAGTCGGTGAAGCTGAAGATGCATCAGGACGACGATGAGGAGATGATGTTCAATGGCCGAAAGTCGAGCAAGAGAACAAAGCAAACCACAGTGAAGGGTCCTTGGGGAAAGGACGAAGACGACGTTGTGATCAGACTGGTATATTCCTGCATTCCTCTGCTTTGGAGCGTTTCTGGTTGAAATTTCGCACAGGTGGGACAATATGGACCGAAGAGATGGTCCCTGATAGCCTCCAACCTCCCTGGAAGTGCGTGATGCTACTTCCAACCTTCGCCACAGCCTGATGGTCGCCTGCAGGGACTGGGAAGCAGTGCCGAGAGCGATGGCACAACCAGCTCGATCCCAACATCAAGAGGGAGGAGTGGACGGAGGAGGAGGATCGCATCCTTATCGACGCGCACAAGAAGGCAAGCTCTCTCCTCGCCGTCCTCGGCTCTCTTCCCCTCACCATGGCGGCAGTTTGGGAACCATTGGGTCGGGATCAGCAAGCTGCTCCCTGGACGTACCGACAACGCGATCAAGAACCGCTGGAACTCTACGATGAGTAAGATGAACTTGCTGTGCTGTTGCTGCTCCTCTCACTCAGGACAGAAAAACGAGCGATGCCATCCCCCGTCTCCAAGAAGCTCACACCCAGCAGCACGGTCAAAGAGACTGCAAGTCTGAGGCAAGGACCATCAGAGAAGGTGAAAGATCATCTCCTCCTCCTCCTCCTCCTCCTCATGGACTCATCACAGGCTCTGACATCATCCTCTTCCAAGCCTTCATTACAGCCGGAGGTTGTCCGACAGATTCCTCGTGGCACGGCGCCTAACTTCGTGCTTTGCAGAAGAGCTCTTCCCAGCAGAAGCGCTCTAGATCAGAGGCAGTCGTCTTGACCAGTTACCCTCCTGGTAATCAATGAGTCTCCAGCAGCCACCCGAGCTGATGTCACTTGACAGTCAAGTCGAGAAGACTCGGGGACTCACAAGTTGAAACCTTGAACAGCTTCGGAAGGTTCACGAAAGATCCTCTTTCCCCGCCTGGTAACCCTCCCTTGCCTTCTCCTCCCCCCCCACACCTCGCCGTTGCTTCTCCTCCCCTTGCCTCCTCGCTCTAGCTCAGTGGTACCTCAGGATTCAAGGACTCGGAACTCTCGGACGTCTCGATGGTCGAAGGGTCAGTCCCCTCGCCCTCCTCCTCCACCTCTGATCGGGCTGGCAGGACCCCCGAATCCAGCCACAACGATTCTCTCCTCTCACACAACGCAACCCTCCTGGACTGTCACTCTTCTCACTTCGCTCGGACTCCTGTGCACTCCTCTTCCAGAAAGGTAACTGCCTCCCTCCCTTCCCCTGCAGCACTTGGATGAAGTTTCACCTTGCTTTCAGCTGCATGCTCCCGACTCGGACTTGAGGAGCAGCAAGAATCTCCTCAGCGCCATCTCTTCCCCCAGCAGGCAAGGTTCCCTTGCTCAGCCTCCTTGAAGTGAGGAGAGGACAGGAGCTTGATCGACGGCAAAGATGAGTTCTGCTGCTCAGTTGGAAACATGGACTCCTCGCTTCCCATGATGGCCTTAGGTGAGTGGGAGAGCAGGAAAGTGAAGGGGGAAGGAATGCCTCTCATGCTTCTCCAGGCCTCACTCCCAGCAGCTTCTCTCCCTCCACCTTCCTCTCCTCCCCGGGCAACGTCAACGTAACTCTCTGATGCTCGAGAGACGTTGTTGGCTGATGAGGTCGCTCAGATGTCATCGTTGAAGCGATCATCGCTGACGGGGGGAAGGGGGAAGCCGCTGCTCTCTCCTCCTCTCGACCTCAAGGAGGTCCGACGACCCATCAACTTCTCTTCTCCCCTCCAGGGGTTCGAGGAAGGCGCCACCTCCCGATCTGTAAAGATGGAGCCGCTGGTGAGGGAGAAGCGGGTAAGGGCGAGGCTGACGGGTCGACAGGCTCCCCTGGACTTCAACAAGCTCCAGGACGCAGCCCTGACAGACCTGAACCTCTGATCTGGGGCGACGTCCAGCAAACGAGTCGCGTTTTTTTCCCCCTAAGCGAAAGATTTGAATGGTTACTTGAATAATGTTATTAAAAGACACTGCGCAAAGTCGCGATAACTCTCTCCTCCTCCATCTACCCCTCCCTCTCCCCCTTCATCTACCCCTCCTTCACTCTCACTCCTCAGACCCGTGGATCAATACTTGAAGCTCCTCGCCATCCTTCACAATACCCTGCCATGCCCGTCAGCTCCTAACCACCTCATCCTCATCCTCCTCCTCACCTTCTCCCGGCCGTTGGCATTCAGCATGTGCGGGTGGGCGTGAGTGTTGTGCTCCTTCGCCTTCTTCTTGTGTGTTGCATGCATGGCGATCGACCCGAAGACGAGCACCAGACCCAGGCAATGAGCAGCAGTGAAAGGCTTCGGGAAGATCATGTAGGACAACAACAAACTTGAGAACTTGCGGATGAAGGAGGTGAGAACCGCTGTCACAGCAGAAAACTCTCCTGCGACTTTCAACAGCATCACCGTGCCGATCATGTTGAACAATCCCCAAGCTATCTCACAGACGAAGACAGCTTTGTTGTTGAAGCACTCCAAAATTCCTTCTTGTAGTTCACCCGTTATAGCAGTGAAGATGATGATACAGAATGCAGAGAAGATGGATTGAACGAACATGAGCTCATACTCGTCACAAACATTGCTCTTCTGCACCTTCTCCTGTAAATTCCCCAAGACTGAATCGAAGCAAAGCGCTAGCAGCAGCAGGAGAAGCCCGATGATTGTTTGCAAGTTGGTTTCCAAGATTGACGATGGCCCGCCGACAAAGTCAGCTCCCGCAAACAGAATCATTCCCAGCACTAGTCCCCCCGCGACCATATACTCGAAGAACGAGTAGGTCTTCCCTAAGATGAAGGAGCTGCCTATCATGACGGCGACCAACTTGCAAGACTTGAAGACAATCTGAGTTGGAATGGAGACAAAGGCCAAGGCAAGCTTCGAAACTCCGTTGCTGCACGCATACGCCAGACACAACCAGAACATCACTACCCTGATGGATTTATCTTGTAGCGCTTCGCAGACTGGAAACCTGAGGCCTTTGCTCCCGCCTTCGTTCGACACTTTGTAAAGTACATAAAGGAAGGAGTAGAGGAGACACATGATCATGACCATGAAGAAGGCATGCTTAAAGTGATATTGCTTAAAGAGAACCTACGGCACAGGTTGAGCAAAACACATGAGATCTGAGGATGAGGTTACCTCTTCAAGGTAACTGGTGGCTGTATGAGATCCAATGACTAATGTGCATATCCAGAACAGTCGTAGCTCCTTCATGTATGCAACTCCTGCAAGCTTGATGAGATGACAGTTTTCCATGGGGAGACGTCAACGTTACCTCTTAAATATCTTGTGCCATTTGCGGGATTCTTCTGACACATCACACGAAAACTAACAGATTTGATCCTGCACACGTTCAGAACACATCATCAAGATAATCCAAGACGAGCTACCTTGCTTCAGCTTTCTTGAATTACAATCGCATGTTGCGCGTCAAGTATTGAAGGTTTATGATTGGATCCTGTACCAGCAGTTAGAAATATGTACACGAGTGCGAAACTTTGTCAACTTTTCAACATTTTCTCACACAGCCACTATCGTTAAGTCCTAAGTTGGCTACACACAGAAGACAAGTGGTGTCTAACATACAAGATATGCACAGGGTTTGATTCCGATCAGAAACCCTTATGCCAGATCATTTCCGAGTAACTTCCCATCTCGTGGGAAGATATCACTGAAACTGTTTTTCCAACCGTCTGTGAGAATATCTCTGTTTCCTGCTACTCTCAGGCTCACAATCGTTTTTCAACAATACTTGCTCTATCCGAAAATGTTTTTTCTCAAAAGTGGCCTAAACTCTCGTTTGCAGTGCTTCACCTACACCTTCCATATCTAAGAGCAACTCCGAAATTCGAAATCATACGAGATTCCTTTCTGCCATCCGCTCCTTGACCTCATCTGCCTTGGGCATCATGTTGTCCCCTCCATCTCATCTCTTCTCCGATGTTCTTCACTCCCTCCTTCTCCTCCTTGTCCTCGCTTCCTACTCGCATGCTCCTTGTGCTCTGTGCATGATGCTGGGAGCTCCATACAGGGAACGGGCTAGGGTGGGGTGAGCCCGATGAACGGTGTAGGGTGGGTAGTAGAAGGGGCGTAGGGGGGTAGAGGGGGTCAGAGCTTAGTTAGAACTCGAATGGGGTAGGGGTGAATGCTCGGGTGGGTAGTGGAAAGTTCGAATGGAAGGAAGTAAGAGCATGTATGAAGCCCAAGAGAAGGGCATAAGCCTTTAATGATAATACCTCAATCGAAAAATATGATACCTATGGGGTATATCCTCTTCGTTCTGCATTGCTGATAAGGAGGGGTGATGGACTTCTAGGGCAGGACTGGTTGGGGGCGGGCAGGGTAGGGGTGCAGGAGCCGAAGAGATTGATGGGAAGAGGTGAATACATATGCATTATTTACTAGTGCCTTAATTGAAGAAAGTGACATCTATGTATGTATGAATCTTCGTAACTCAGACTGATGCGATGGGGGTAGTTAACGAGGGGTCACGGGTCCTCGGATCCATTCCATGGGTGGGGTACAGCTACAGCTGGGGAGCGCAAGAGTAGGGGGTGGTAAGCTTGCTCAGGTGGACGGGGTGGATGAGGACTTTCGAAACTTATCAGGAACATAGTTGATAGGGGGGGTGGGGTTGGCGAGAGTGGTACTGTCAGGGAAGTGTAGGGGTCTTGCGAGGGTGGGGTGGTTTATATAGGGGTGGTATTGAGATTGACACGACTGAAGGGGGGTACGGTAGGTTATCAGCGCAGCCGTTGGATGTCGAAGAGTTGTTAGACACAGAGGGTGGCCTGTTGTGGGTGGGGTGGTATTGAAATGGTACGGGTGCTTGACTCATGCAGTGGCAACTTCCAACTGGGGGTGTCTTAGAATACGTGGTGGGTGATTCAAGTACCGGTGCATAGAGATATGTACCCTACCTATGAACTAAATTATCTTGACGAATCAAGGGTACTACAGAGAAGGACGGGGTAGTGCGTAAAACTTTAGCAGAAACAGATGGTGGGTGCTTTCACTCATCTACGTAGGGTCCTTCAAAAGGGGGTGGGGGTCCACGTGCACCCAAGCAAGTCGCCAATGGCATGCTAGCAGTATAGTGCCCGTTTGGGGACAAAGTAGTAGGTGGGGTGGGAAAAAATATGTTCAGAAGAATTCCCGGTGAAATGAGGGGGTGGGGGTAGTCCAGAGCACCAATTGATTCCGAATGGTGACTTCTTGAGGCGATTGAGATTTTGGTTGGGTGGGTCATTCATCAGACCTTCACGGTGGGGTAGTATAGGTATATATCACCCCTTACTTTCATGGCATAAATGGGGGCTATAATACATAAATAACGGGTGGTGTGGATATTGACCCAAAACAGGGGGTAGGGTTATGGGTCGTTCTCGTGGGAGATTTCAAGTTCGTTTTCTGATCGTTTTCAGTCAAGGGTGAGTGGTGGATGAGGGTGATGATAAAGTATATGAGGGCGATGACACCTATTATGAGGGTGATGATATAAAATATGAGGGGGATGAGTTGAATGGGGATGAGGGCATACGCTGGTTTTCGGAAGGGTGGGGGTGATCGTATCACCGGTACTTTTATGAGAAAATTTGCTAAAAATTAGGGGTATACATAAGATAAGGGGGGGTCTTGTGACCTGGGTAGGACAGATCGGCGAAGAGACATGGCGCGAGGTGGAGGAGCGAAAGGGTCGGCGATTGCGATGGCCGTGGGGTGTGCGACGGCCTTCCTTCTGCTGTATGCCGGATGGATCAAGCGCGATGAGCGAGTGGTATATTATGCGTGACCGCATCTTTCCTCATCCCTCCCTCCTTCCAGCTCCTGATGCATCGCAAGTTTTGATTTGGCTCACTCTGTTGCTGCAGGAGGGTCTCCAGGCTCGATACGAGTGGATGCAGGTGGAATGCAGTCTAGAATTATGGATGTTGAATGACATGGTTGAGCACCACAGGGGCTGAGGAGACATCCAGCATATGTCAGACAACAGATGATGAGATTGCAACCGGCTGTGTATGTGGATCGATGGACCAAGATGCAGGCAGCCGACCTCCTGGGGAAGAATGAAATCCTCGCAGCAAGGGACTCAGGAGTTCCTACCTGCTACCCTGACATTGTCGTTGACAAATCTGGAAAGTTGGCGAGAATGGTAATTGGAGGTGCCGCCCGCTTGTTGTAGCTGACGGAATCTTTGCTAGGCGCCTCAGTCGATTCTCAGGGCAATCCAGAAACCAGCGTTCAACGTTGTCCCCAGGTCGAGGTCACAAATGCTAGCCTGTCTCTGCGACTCCTGCGATCCCAAGGCCGGATTCCCTCCAGGTACCCGGTGCTTGACGCATGCTTGACATGCTGAGGTCCGTGATAGTTTGCAACAACTGCACCTGCGAAGAGACCGTGGACAAGAATCCGGATGAGGTCTTCATGCTTGGGCACGCAAAGGCATGTCCCGAGAAGGGCTGCCAGAGCATCAAGGTTGCGCTCAACTGGCCGGCAAGGCTCGTCTCCTGACCCTCGTTGCAGAACGAGACTACTCCCAATGCCCTGCTGGACTTCCCCGAGTGCCAGGCAAGTCGCTGACGTTTGAAAAGAGTTGAGTTTGCTGACCCTGGTGCTCCACAGACGTGGGCTTGCTTCAACAAGGATGGATGGTTCTGCTCCTGCACTTGCCCTGGACAAGGCTGTCCGTAGCGACATCTAACTTCAGCGCTTTACTTCACATCTGCGGCTGATTGTAGCGATTCTACCGATGCCAAGTGGATCTGCACGAGGAGAATTCTTGATTGGGGACTCATGTATGAATAAAGGAGGGAGATTTTGACTGCTCCTGCTGTTGGTTCAGGCACGCAGGTAAACAAAGTCAAAGTGCGATGTGACATGGACTTTATTTGGGCTATCGGGGAAAGAATTCCACAGGATCGGAGCCAAGCATCTTCTCTTCAAACTTTGAGCCCTGCAAGTCGGTCACGCGAGCTTGCAACGGAGGGGGCAGGTCACCGACAGCACCACATGGATGACCGGGTAGCCGGGAACTACGTGCCCCTCGGCCTGCAGAAACTCTCGCAACGTCCATCCCATGTCGATCCTGCATGGCAAATCAGCACCACCTCCAGCAGACGTCGAGCTGAACTGACAACCTCTGCCACGTCGGCTGGTGCCTGCGCCCAGTGACAGGGTCCGTCAACCACTCGCTCTTGCCTCCTTTCATGAGGGGGACCTGGCGGAGGGTCAGGCAGGAAGCAACTTAAGGCAAGGGGGCACATACCTGATGAGCGATGAAGTAGAGGCTCACTGTGGATCGCCAGTACCTGTGTTCGGGGTCCCAGTAAGGAGGGGATGGGCAGTCCAAGACGGGCTCGAGTATCTCGTCCAAGGTAGCTGCCTCCGAGCACTGCCTCGTGGTCAGTCAAGTTGCGGCCCGGGGACAGGGGAGGCACTTGTCGGAGGAAGTCGGTGCATCGTGACTCTTCGTAGACGAGCAAGAGCGGCCAGCAAAGTTCCTCCCCGATGACATTCACGTCGATCAGCTACAGCACAGGGTCACTTCATCCTGTGGCGGTACAAGTTGAAAGCCAAACCTCCCGCTGAAGAAACTCGGGGTAGATGCAGGGGCCCAGCAGAATTCCTCGGACATGGATCCCCCTCCTAACGCCCACTCTCTCTCTCAGCTTCGACTTGTGCTCGAGCTTCTTGATCTGCCAGCAGCCCATGAGCACAAGGCCGCGTGACGACGATGATCACCGTCTCTTGTCGAGAGAAAGTTTCTTGCTGCTGATTGGCCTCTTGAAGTATGTCAGGAATATGCTTGGTAAAAATGACGTCGGTGGATTGCGAATCTTTCATCCTGCAGGCATACCATCACATCTCAAGCTCCGATGTAAGCTCTCGCACACACCCATGATCGCATGCGATCTCTACTGCCAGGTTGCAGTAGAAGACAGCACTTGCAAATCTACGTGGAGTGAGTTCAGACTCTCAACTCCTGCTCCGTCCTTAGCTCTCACCTCTGGAGACCGAGACTCGCCCTAGCTGCTCTTACGCACGACTTCACCGAGAGCTTGACAAGCGTTTGTGTTTCAGTTCGGTTGAGATGGACGGCTCGTCGAGCAAGCAGGTGGGTCATTGGGAACATGTGCTTGGAATTCTCAGCTCCTCGTCTTCCTGTACGGGACTGAACGGCGTTGGCGACATACGCTTCAAACATGGAGAGCGTTGCGTTGCAGTCTCTTATCACATGGCCTAGGTTGCCTCGCTGGAGGTGGCACATGGCTCTGTTGGAGAAACAAGCAGCTCTGAAAGTCGTGTCATCGTATCACCTTCATGGATGGACGAGGAAGCAGTCACCTCAACATCACGTCGGAGCAATTCTTGCACAAGGCTGTGGTATAATGTTGAGCTGCAGCCACGTAGAATTTGGAGCTGTTCTCATTTCCTTGCTCTGCCCGACGCAGAGCGTAAGTTTGACAACAGGGGGGGACGTTGTAGGATCGACTTCACCTTTCAACTCACGAGCAGAGCTTACTGCTTTGTTTCCCATTACTTTGTGATACTCTGCAGCTTGGTCCGCATCCTCCTCCCCTTCCATGATGGCATTTATCCACTCATCACGGGCTTGTTCAGCTTCGGCCTCCGTCAATCCTTCCATGAACAGCGGGTCGTGACCCTCATCGACAAATCGCTTGCTCCAGACAAACTCCTGAAACCTCTTCCGCTCCTCCATCGTTCGGTTCCCTGAGCCTCCGCCTCCTCTGAGCATAACACGAGGGCACGCCGTTCCTTGGAGCGATCTGCCCTGCCCTGGCTTGCATGCATGCTGTATTCCCCCCAAGGTTGGAGAGGTAAGGAGGAACAAGAAGCTCGCAATGGCAATGCAGTTCATCGTCGGCCCCTCAGACCAGCAGCTCCTCCCAGCGCCCTCGCTCGGTCTATCATTCCCCTCCTGCTCCGCCGCTGTCCTCCTCTCCTCCTCCTTCACCCTTCCGATGCGCCTCCATCTCTATACTGCAAGCACTACTACATTGGCCATTGGGAATGAGGGGGATGATTGTATCCATGGGAATATGAGGGGGATGAGCCTGCGGCACGGTGGTCGTGACTCAGTGACTGGCAGAGTCAGTCACTCAGTGGTTCAGTGGGCAATATCAGGGCCTTGTGTTGCGGAACTACGGTGCCAGTGACTGAGCCGGGCCAGTGAGTCACGCGGCCAACTTGGCAACACCGTGACGGTGACCGGCCGGGCCGCTATGCCAGTCAGGCTGAGGCGGACACGACGATCAAAACTTTGACAGATCGGCAGTTATTAATGCATGTGAGACAGAGGGAGAGGGAGAGGGAGAGGGAGAGGGAGAGGGAGAGGGAGAGGGAGAGGGAGAGGGAGAGGGAGAGGGAGAGGGAGAGGATGATGGGAGGTCCATGCAATGTAATCCTGATTTTGGCATCAATCAGGTCAGATGTGAATTTGTTGAGAAGCGAGAACGATGATCTCCGGAGAACCTGCCAAGTCCTCCTGCAGACACAGGAGATGCAGGTAGATTGTGCGAACCTGCATGGCAGCGTTCTGAGATGGGCACCTGAAGATCAAGGCGATCGCGGAGCAGCAGAGGACGTGCAACCATCTGCACGAGAAGAACAGGAAGGGTCCTTGTGCCGCTTCCCTCCTCCTCTCATGATGCATCTCCAGAGATCTGTGCGAGAAGCTCGAAAAAGTGCTCAAGAAGAGCGAAGCGAGCGAGCGAGAGCTCAACCTGCTCTACTCTCTCAGAGTCAAGGACGAGGAGCGACGCGAGAGGCTTCGGTGAGCGGCAGGGACCTTTGGCATGCCCGGGTTGACCTGCGAGTTCAGCGCATGGCGGATCAGACAAGCCGACCAAAGATGCCGTCGAAGCCATAAGCGTCGGCTTGCGTCAGTTGTCAGCCACTGGAGATTTCTGGTCGACACTCGAAGTTGGTTGACGAGACATCTGCTGAGAACACATGCAGACAACAACAGTCTCTTCTCACCAGCATCGGCAAGTCAGGAAGGCCTTCAGCGAATGGTCTTTGAACGTCAATTGCCACAAGCAACTTCGAAGGTGCCTGAAGGCTCTGATCTGATTGTTCTCTAAACTTCAATGGACTTCTCTATCCCTCTTCTCCCTCTTCCCTCCTGTCTTTCGCCCCCTCCTCCCCTCCTCTTCTCTGCTGCTTCACTTTGTGATGTTCCGTGCAGATCCATCAGGCTGCGATCTCTCAGTCTGATCTTTGGCGAATGGCAAAAGTTGCCGAACGAGATGAAAGAGAGGAGGAGGAGGAACCTGTCAGCCGCTCTTCGAGCATGGCAGATGTACGTTCATGCTCGAGGCTTGGCGCCCGTCTGACCCGCTCTTGTTGCAGCCTCCTAGGGCAGGTCATGATGGCGAGAGTGCAAGGGGGGGAAGTTGACGATTCGTCGTCACGCAGACAAGGGAGGAGCACAGGGCCAACGTCTCATGCCTGAAGCTGCACTTCATGCAGTGGACGAAGGCAACGCTGATGAGGAGGATGCTGAGGAGGAGGAGGAGAGTGTGTCGTCCATCCTGTCAAGCTTCTTACCTTGCAGCAGGTGGAGGATGCAAGAACGTGGGCAAGTCGGCAGCCTGTGCAGGTCAGCCCTGACTTCCCCTCCCTCGTGACCTCCAGCCTCAGGATCTACTTCCGGACGTGGAGGACAAACGCGGACAAGTGTCGGAGGCTCGTGGCCTACGTTGACAAGCGGGCGGTCAAGATGTTTGACAGGAGGAGAGTGTGAGTGAACTCAAGGAGCTGACGTGCCCGCCGTTGACGTCTTGTCAGCTCCCGCCACGTCTTGAGATGGCGATGCTTCGCCTTCAGTGCTCGGAATCCTTTCTCCTCCCAGCGCGTCCCCTTCCTCACTTGGCTTGGAGTGCGCAATAGGTACCTGCACCTCCTCCTGCTCCTCGTGTCCTTGGGCCCCCTCGGGGAGGCGATGGGTGGGGGGAAGGAAGCAATGGCTGAGGAGAGGCAACAGGTACGAGAGGGCGAGCAGGGCGCTTGCTCGAGCCACACGAGGCAGCAGGTGAGTTGAGTTTACACGGTTCATCCCATGACAATAGAGCAGCGGCGGCGGCGGTGCTGACAAGGAGGAGGACGCTTCTAGCAAGCGACTTTGTTCGACTCGCTTCTCCCTGCACCTCAGCGGATCCCCCAAGGTGACGTCACCCTACAACAAGATGTCCCAGACATCCTCGCGATGATGATCTGCCTGCTCGCACTGGAGCTGAAGCTGGAGCTGGTGGTCTTCCCTGCTCGTCGTCTCCCATAGCCCGTCTATCGCTTCGGAGGAGGAGGAATCGGCTTGTTTGGCTTCGCTGCATCAGCATGAGGAGAAGGGGCGAGCTCAACAGGAAGAGCTCACGGGGACTCGACGTGAGAGGAAGCTCAGGGGGTTTGTAGTTGGGCTTCTCCGGGGGTCCCGCTGGTCGGGTTAAAGATGGCGGAGGGCACGGAGGGAGAGGAGGATGTGGAGCCGGTGGCACTGTTGTCTGCTGGGCGGGGGGCGAGGGACGAGAGGGAGGAGCGGGGAGCTGAGAGGGAGGGTCAGCGGTGACGACGGACGGAACTCCTTTCAAGTTTCACCTGAGGTGGACGAGAGTTGCTGGCTGCCTCCAACAGCGGCCGCTGCTCGCCGGCATAGTGTACATGGTCGGGTTGAGCTGGGGGGTCGGCAGGAGGTTTGGTCTCCTTCCTCGCCTGATCTTGTTGGAAAAGATTCATATTCTTCTCGATCTGCTTCTGAACAAGCTCGTGATTCCCTCCACTCTTCCTTCTGTGTGCGGCCCCTTCCGTCGCCTCTGGCCCCGCCACAAGAGGAGGGGAGGAGCTCCTTGCGAGCTGTGCTTCCTGCATAGCACTAGCAGCGAGTGAGGTTGAGTCAGAGTAGGAGGGTCAGGGTTCAGGCGAGATGGAGGGCGGAGAACGACGAGGAAAGAGAGGAAGAGGAGGTGAACAAGGTGGACAAACGTACGGCAAAGCGACGGCGGACCCCAAGTGGATGATAGAGAGAGGTTCAGGGTTGCTGACCGGCAGCTGCGGCTCAGGCGCTTTCCCCCGCAAGAAGTTGAGGATCTAGATTCAGCGTCAGGAGGCTCGGCCATGCAGGAGCAGCGGTATCTGCTTCGAGAGATACCTGCCCCATCTTTCCTGGCTCTGGTTTCCTTTCAGGGGAGGGACGGCGTGGGGATCTTCGCTTGATGTCCTCCTCCCACTGCCTTTGCGCCTCCACAATCCTTGCTTCCACGTCCTCCAAGCTCTGAGCCCTCGGAATGTTCGAGCTCGATGACTGATCGGACACGCAGCCCTCCGACTGCTCCTCCCTCAGCAGCGTCTGAGCCATGGAAGCAGCGTGCGCTGCATGCAGGTCTGCTGGCTCCCCTTGACGGAGGGCAGGAGGGCGAGCAGGAGGAGGAGGAGCCCATAGCTCCTCGTCAGCCTCCAGGGCTTCAACGTAGGAGGAAGGAAAGTATCCCTCCTCCCCATCTTCGGACCTGCCATAACACCATCCGTCCTCGTTTGCTTCCTGCAAGCAATTCAGCAACCCTTGCAGGAGCCCCGCAGCCTCTCACCTGAAGCACGCTCACGACGTCCCCCTCCTCCAGCTGCAGCTGATTCTCCCCCCCCGCAAAGTCGCACCAGGCTCGCACTCGGAACAGGACGATCGTCTCCTCCTCCGAGAGAGTGTTGTTGAACAGTTCACCCGACGCGGTGTGCTCCTCGTAGTCCTCGTCGGAGCTCGTCGCTCCCTCGCTGCTGCTTCCGTTGCTCCTCGTTTCCGCACCATCCAGCCCCTGCCCCATCATGCTCTCATCCACAGACGAGGACGTCCAGGTCCTCGGAGTCGACAGCTCTCCCGAGCCTGCTCGCTTGCACTTGGCACCATTGCACCGGCAGTGGAGGAGGATGGACTGGCAGGAGCTGCAGACCTCATACTGGTTCGCGATGAGCCCGAGGCCTCGGACGTGTTCCCTGCTCTCCACGATCTCAACCCCGTTCAGCTCCTCCTTGTTCCGCTCCCTCAGCTGATACTCCTTGATGACGAGTTGCTTGTCAGGCTGCTTCTTAAAGTTGATGTATCCCTGGCTGTTGTAAAGCTTGTTGGCCTTGATCCACGACAGGTATTGGAACTCGGACTTCCTGTTGTACTCCTTCCCATACATGCACCGATGGCAGACCCTCACCTTCCCCACCTTCTCGTCCAGCTTCTGCGACTGTTTGAGCAGGCTCCTGTGCCATTCGATCAGGTCCTCGTTATGTACAGTAATGATGCGAAGGGCGAAAGGGAGGAAATTCCCCTGGTGGCCACACCCGTTCTCCTCCATGGAGAGCGAGCACCTGCCGCAGATGTACAACCCACACTTACGGCAGTTGAAGCGCTTCTTGCTGATGCTGCCGAATCGGGACGAGCAAATCTGACAGGCTTTGGTCACGGTGCCATAGACAGGCGCTGCAATCCCCATCATAGAGAACTGCTCCGCCTCCCGCAGGGCCTCCTTCATGTCGTTGAACCACCCTGTCTTCTCCTCCTCGGTGGAAGCACGCACCTTGAAGGACTTCTGAGACGTGAAAACCTCCCAGGACAGAGGGCTCTCGGCTGGGTTTGATATCTCCTCGACTTTGATCATCCTCCCTCCATGGATGAGCTTGTTCTTGACCTCCATGCCGTACCGATTCCCAATGTCGAACTTCCTCTTCAACTTCATCTGCTTCAGCACTCCCAACTGCACCTCTTGGGCATAGATCAGCGCGTCGTTGAACAGGTAGAAGTAGTATTCCTTGGGCTCCTTGGTCGTGATTCTGGTGAGCTTCCCTTCCCTGATGATCTTCCTCTCAGGATCCACCAGGTCGATCCCAGGGAAATTCTTCTGAATCGAGCGCAGCTTCTCCGTGTTCTCCCGTCGGCGAGTTGCTTCGTTGCACTGGTCGGCCTGCTCTGAGATCAAGTTCAACGCTCTTCGCAGGTCCTCGTAATCTTCGGCGTCCTCAGGGGTGTACTTCAAGATCTCCTCCAGCAGCAGCTTGTACCTTGGGATCCGCTGGACAGGCATGATGAGGTAGGAGTCAAGGGACAGCACGGAGGACTCGTGATTCATCTGAGCCTTCTCAAGAAACAGCGCAAACTCCTTCACCTTCTCCTTGCTCTCGAAGTAGCACTGTGATGCCCGCTCGTAGTGACTGACATACCTCTGGTACAACTTGAGCAGTGGCGCGATGTTGTACATGATGTCTCCCACCTTTGGCACCTCCTCTGCGCGTGTGCTCTTGATCCTTCGGTCAAGCGCTACCCGCAGCTGGTCCGCTATCACAAAGAGGTCTTCTGCATTCCCAAAGATCGTATCGATCAAGGTCTCCTGCAGTATGGGCGAGAGCTTGTACTGTGCATTTCGCAGTGGTGTGAAGTAGACCTCCAGCATGGTCTTGAGAGATCTTGTGTAGCTAATCTCTGTGTTCAAGAGCTCTAGAATCGGATTTTTGGCTTTGAAGGACATCGAAAGCCTACTTGCTTGCTATCCCTTGCATGGATCGAACAAAGACACAAGTCGTCCTTGTTGTTGCTGCACAGTGTCCTGCTCACAATTCTGCTCCCACAAGTCGGTGGTCAGCCATCGGTCGCGTCGTCTTCAACAGTGAAAACTCTGGAGCACCCATGGCTGGGAGTATGACTGCACTCCAGCGATAGGAGAGCAGAGCAAACCAGAGTAGAGCACGAGCCACCAGAGCACAGGGACACAGCAGCAGGTGTGTTGGTACCTGATAGATAATCGTGACAACAGGCTTGGTAGGGCTACTACCAGCTGTTACTACGGCAATCGAAGAGCCGGTACCACGATGCCGGCAGCCAGTACTAATTTATATTATTTTAAGTTTAATTTTATTTTAGTTCTTGATGGTACAATTTCTAATATTATAAAATAGTTTTTTAAATATTAGTAGAAACATTTCGGGAGGAAGATTACAGGCGAGTTGGAGTAACTAAAATATTCAATAATTTTCAAAATTATGTAAGTACTACTTTAAATTGATAAAATTCTCAAAACCTTCATATGTAAACCAATGCAGTACTGCGTGCTGTTGGGAATGGAAACTACAGTACAAATCATTACAATTACTTCTACGACCATCCTTCCTGACTGAGCCGCACCGGCGCCGGGGCCCCCGTTCAGTCAGAACTTTCCGGAGTCCGCGGCGCTGACTCTTCCGAGTCCGGCTATGGCCGAGTGACTCCTCCGAGCGTACCGGAGGCTCGGAGGCTGAGGCTAGGGCCCGGCCGGGCGGGGCCTAGTACCGCCGGGTCCCCCGGGCCCATCATCGGACTGAGGTACGGTAGTACCAGTCCGATGATCCGATGTGTGACGTGACGGTGCGCACGGCGCGCAGTGCGGCCGGTGACCCGGGCGGCCTCTGAGCCAGCCTGAGCCTCGGAGTCCGACTAGAGCCTCGCCCGGCCACTGCCGGCCGTCGGGTCGGACCGTGCCGGGGCCCGGCCCGGGCCCGTCGGCCCGGCGCGCGCCGCCGCCGCCGCGAGTCAGGCTGAATGATAACTTGAAGCTTCAATGCTTATCAAGTTCTGTCGGCCCAATTATCTACCCCTGATAATTGAGTTGTAAGGAGGGGTAGTCTGATGTTCCTCTACCCACCATTGCACTACCCACACCCTACCATGTCCCCATCTCGTATATCCCTACCCACCCTATTACGATTACTGACCTTGATCCAGGATGTCTCACCCCTCCTACGAGGGGTACCTTGTGGGAAAGGGGGGGTCAGGGGGTTCATTGGACGAGGACGGAAAGTGGGACTGTACGGGTGTTGTCAGTATGTTGAAGAGGTAGGGGTACTGCATGGGAAGAAGGGAGGGGTACATGAAAGATTAGGGGTAGGCATGAGAAGGGTGGGTAGCATAACTGCATCATTGGTAGGGTCCTTGTCCTAAGAGGATCAAGCTTTTTGGAGGACATAGGAAATCGTAGGCTGATATGACATCTGCTACCAATATGTTATACGTTCACAATTCATCCCACAGTGGGTGGGGTATGTGGAGGTTGGGGTGGGTGGGTCGATTGGTGGGTGGGTGAATGGAAAAGGTGGGTGGTGATTGGGGGCTCGTTGATGTATAGTAGGGTAGGGTTGGAGGAGAGGCGGGAAGGATCAGCAGCATGCAGGGAGCAGGAGGAAAGCGAAGGGTCGCCTACTTCTACGATGGTGAGAGCGATGTTCGAAGAGGACAATGAGACGATAGAGATCAAAAGATGGCATGCCTACCCTCGGCACCTGTTGGGATGTATCTTACATGGCATTGTGTGCAAGATCCTTACAGTCCCCTTGTTTTGTTGCGGCCTGCCAATCCTAAATTCCAACTGTTTCCTGCCTTCTCCCTGCCACTCTCAGGGATGATCAGGGACCTCTTGTTGTTTCAATGTGTTCTCTATGTGAATTTCGTTCGGATTCTCGTGTTCCGCTGTCATCTTGCACCTCGTCCTGTCGGACAGATTGTCCTCGGTGTAAATGTTGGGATTCCGATTCTGCATCCCCGATCTGATGGCTCCATGACTCATCAATTTTTCTCAGCCGAAATCGGGAACTTTTACTATGGACCGGGGCATCCTATGAAGCCTCACAGTAAATTTTTCTTTCCTGCATCTGTCATGCTAATGGGATCCTTCTTAGGGATTCGAATGTGCCACAATCTCCTATTGAACTACCGTCTTTATGAAAAGATGGATGTCTTTGTATGAAAGATTGACTTCCTTACAATTGCCAGACTGACTGATGTGCTCACAGAGACCTCAACCCGCGACAGAGCGGGATATGACCAAGTTTCATGCTGGTATAGGGTTTCCTATCGCGACAGTTTAAGCTGAGCGCCTGAAAATAGATGATTACGTCCAATTCCTCAAGATGATTACTCCTCAAAATATGCATGACAACATAAAACAGCTACAGAGATGTAATTGTGCAATTTTTTTCTTCAAGCAGCACTAATACATTGTTTGCAGTTAATGTCGGTGAAGATTGTCCGGTGAGATTTGACAAATAGAACTTTGTTGGACGCAGGACGCAACATTCCTAATATTTTCATCAGGTTTTTGATGGATTGTACGACTTTTGTCAGTTGTCAGCTGGTGGGTCCATCGGCGGTGCAGTCAAATTGAACATGCAAAAGGCAGATATTGCAGTCAACTGGGCTGGAGGTAAGATACTTAATTTTTCGCCAATGTTCCCCCAAGTCAAGTGTCAAATTAGGGCTCCATCATGCCAAAAAGTGTGAAGCCAGTGGTTTCTGCTATGTCAACGATATTGTATTAGCAATCTTGGAGTTGTTGAAGGTATTCTTGTTTTTGTTGTCGTTGTTTGTCTTTTTGACATGAAAACAGGTTCATCAACGTGTGCTATACGTTGATATCGATATCCATCATGGAGATGGTGTCGAAGAAGCGTTCTACACTACAGATCGTGTCATGACGGGTATAACATCTGTCTTCTACTTCTCCATTTCTGTAACATTACAAATTCTTGTTAGTCTCCTTTCACAAGTACGGAGAGTATTTCCCTGGCACGGGAGATAGCAAAGACATTGGGGCAAAGGGAGGCAAATATTACAGTGTCAACTTTCCTTTGAGAGACGGAATTGATGACGAGACGTACAAATCGATCTTCGAGCCAGTAATGCGAAAGGTCATGGAGCAATACCAGGTAATGGCTGTCAGTCTATGTTCGGTTTTGAGTCTAAACTACTTCGCAGCCAGGAGCTGTTTTTCTGCAGTGTGGTGCCGACTCCCTTGTTGGAGACAGACTTGGAACATTCAACTTATCCATGTAATGAATTACTGACGTCCTATTCCCTCCTTCGCTCACTGCTTCCTTGCAGCAAAGGTCATGGAAGGTGTGTAGAGTTTATGAAGAGCTTTGGGAAGCCACTTCTAGTTGTTGGAGGAGGAGGTTGTAGCCTTTTGATGCCGAGATTTCATTGTAAGCTCGATCGCAGGTTACACAATTCGAAATGTGGCAAGGTGCTGGGCATACGAAACTGCTCTAGCCCTTGATGAACAGGTTGGATTGCATTGATCTTTGAGAGTGCGCTGACGCCCTGTGCTAATGCCCTGTCCTCCATTCCTTTCTTGTTTAGTTGCGCAACGAATTGCCATACAACGACTACTACGAATATTTTGCTCCCGATCACCATTTGCACATCTCACCTTCAAACATGGAGAATTTGAACTCGCCAGGTACGGGTCCATTTCCGTGGAATTTGAGTCTGAAATCTTCCAGATTACTTGAACAAGATCAAAGAAAGAATCTTTGAGAATTTGCGGCATGTCCCCCCTGCACCTGGCGTTCAGATCGGAGGTTCTGCTGAGACAGGTGAAACGAGCTGGGGCTATTGGTGTCCTTCTGATTTGATCTACAGCACCGCGAGATCCGATGATCGACGAAGATGACAAGGACGAAGACAAAGAGGATCCCGTGAGATTCTTTCTGCAGCCGAGAAAAGATGTGACGGTCGTCCCGCAGGATTCCAGGGCATCTCGTAATCCATTGAAACAGTCAGCAGAGCAATCTTCAGCAGAGACAGGTGATCGTCAAATCTACACCTTGGCATCTCCCCCATGCTCATAGCTTAATCAGGAGAGCCCAAGGAAAGAGATCGATCTTCTGGTCTCCCAGCTGCTGACTCCAAGGACACTGAGAAAGAAACCGCGAAGACAGAGAAGGCAGAAAATGCTGAGGACAAGAAGGAGGAGCCGAAAGAGGAGAAGAAAGAGGTCAAGCAAGAGGAAGAGAAAGAGGACAAGAAGGAGGAAGTGAAAGAAGTCAAAGAGGAGAAGAAGCAGGAGGAGGAAAAAGTCACCGAGGAAAAGACCGAGGAAAATGCGGAAGAAAACTCGACCCCAGCAGATAAGGAGAAGCAAGAGGAGAAGCCTGCCGCGGAGAACAAAGATGTCGACATGGATGGCAGTGCAACTCAAGGAGACAAGGAGAGCGAGACCAAGGCAGCAAACGAGGCAGACGAGAAAGGAAACGACAAGGAGAAGGAGGATCTGCGGAGTGAGGCCGAAGGGAAGGCAGAAGCGATGCAAACTGAGGCGCCTGCGGAGACTGTGGAGGCTGAAAAAGGTGAGGGATCAAACCTGATGAAGTTGGCTTGACTTCTGGTGGACTAGATGCTCCCAAGACTGAAACAGCTGAAAAGAAGCCTGTAGGGCTTTTCTTTTCTGCTTTCCTTCATGCCTGACCTTTACAATAGGATGAAAGTGACAAGGTGGAACCTGCTTCAGAACCGGCTGGAGGTTCGTGTGAGTATTATCAGGTCAGGAGGGCTAAAATTGCTGCAGGAGGTGACGTGGAGATGAAGGAATCATAGTCCTACGACTTGTGTGGTGTAACGGCACTTTTTGTTTTTCTCTTGGATGTTCTATCTTTGATTTGACATAAGATTGTTCTCTTACTTTGATTGTTATCACCTCGCCGCTGCTCCTTGCTCGACTCAGTGATTGCGCTCCTCCAGCTTCTCTCATGAAGGACTGCCTCTGATAAGACCCCTCGGCATCCTACTTGCAAGGCCAAACCAACACAGTTTAAACCAAACCAACACAGTTCAAACAGTTTAAACCAAACCAACACAGTTCAAACAGTTTAAACCAAACCAACACAGTTCAAACAGTTTAAATCAAACCAACACAGTTCAAACAGTTTAAATCAAACCAACACAGTTCAAACAGTTTAAATCAAACCAACACAGTTCAAACAGTTTAAATCAAACCAACACAGTTCAAACAGTTTAAATCAAACCAACACAGTTCAAACAGTTTAAATCAAACCAACACAGTTCAAACAGTTTAAATCAAACCAACACAGTTCAAACAGTTTAAACCACATCTCTCATGCCATCCCCCCACGCACTTTCTCCCTCTCCACCTCCCTCTGACTGCTCCCTTTCATCCTTGCGCCTCCCCCCTCCCCCCCCCTCCTCCTTCACCTGCTTTACCTCCTTCTCCTCTTCCTCGTCCTCGTCCTCGTCCTCGTCCTCGTCCTCGTCCTTCTCCTTCTCTTCGTCCTCTTCCTCGTCCTCGTCCTCTTCCTCGTTCTCGTCCTCTTCCTCGTCCTCGTCTGTTCTCTCTCCACATCTCGCATCCTTTGCCATAGTTTTCGCTTTTCGTACATGCACCCCTCCTTTTGCCTGGAACATATGGGGTAGTCCCTCTGGGGGGGTGAAAACCTGCAGATGACCAGCTGGAAAAATAATTATTCGGGCATATTTATGGGGTAGGGGTGGTGAATGGAGGGGTCAAATTGAGATTGGGGTATTGTGAACCATGCATAAAGAGGACCTATCACTTAGAAAATATAAGCTGAAATATGAAATCGTTGATGTTGAGTGGTATCTCCAGCAGTTCAGGGCACGATGAAGCCTTGCAAGGTAAGGGTAGGGTAGGGTGCAGGATACAGCGCGAAATGCTGGGCGGCAGGAGGGGAGGGGGATCGGAGGGGGCGGAAGGAGAGAGAGAAGGGGCAGTTGTACACAGAGGAGGAGGAGGAGAGGAGGAAGAAGATCAGCTTGATACAGCTAGCTCTGGGATTGCAGTGAGGGGATGGAGCGAGCACCTGGTGGGTTGGATGGCAAGCGAAGGGGATGTGAAAGCCCAGGAGGAGGAGGAGGAGGAGGAGAAGGAGGAGGGGGAGGGGAGGAGTGGCTCAATCAGGAGCATCGGTTCTGCATTTGCTCCTTTTGCTGGCAAACGCCGCAGGGTGGAGGAAAGTGGGCCCACGGAGGACGACCTTGCAGAGAGTAAGCGCAGAGCCGAACGCTGGTCTGATGTCAAGGTTGAAGGAGAAATGGCTCATGGCGGAAGAAAAGGGCCTCCAAGCCGAGATGTAGATGTTGAAGGGAACTTTGCTGGAGTGCTCATTGCGAAGTCAACAAGTCAACAGAGTGCGGCTGCACGAAGTGGAAGAGGGAATGTCAAGGTCCTTGTATCGGATGGGAGTGTGCAAGAAACGGCAGAGCAGTCGAGTATGTTTCATGGAATGAGAGCATGGGAAATAGAAGCAGGAGCAGTAGGAGCAGCTGGAGAAGGACGTGGTGGTGGTCGAGGAGGAGCCGCAGGGGAAAGAGCCGAAGAAATTCTTGAGGGACAGGGAAAAGTAGGAGGCAGGAAAAAAATCACAGATGAGCAAAAGCTGAAGCTTCGTCTACTCAAGAACAGACTGTCAGGTGAGCTTGTTGCCCCTCTGCGATGAAACGCTCAGAGTTCCTCGACCGCAGCCGAACGCTCCCGGAGGAAGCGCGAGCTGGCGACGATCTCAACGGAGATTGAGCTGCAGAAGTTGCGGAGAGAGAACGTGCTGCTCAAGGAGAAGATGAAGCTTGTCCAATCCTTCTCCTCCTACCAGGTCCAGCTGTGCCAGGCTATCAAGCAAGAGTTCTCCCAACATGAATGGCATGGCGAGCTGTCTGGGGAAAGCAGGTCAGAGCCATCGACAGCAAGCAGAACGGGCAGTGTTAAGGAGGACGAGGACGAGGACGAGGACGAGGACGAGGAGGCAGGGCAGAGGCAGGAGCCGGAGAAAATCCAGAGGTGCTACTTGAGCCTCCTCCAGCGCCTGGAGGGGATCATGGAGGAGGAGGAGCAGCGCTTTGTTCAGCTCTCGAACCGCGTGGAGGTGCTGGTCCTGCAGGACTCAGCCAAGTTGTCGGAGGCAGAGATCAGGATGCGGGAGGTGGAGCATGAGAAGATCGCCGCCATCTCCGCCCTCACCAGTGCGCGCGAGAGGTTCGCAGAGCGCGAGCGGGAGCTGCTCGGCCGCATCGCCATGCTCGAGGCAAGGTTGCACAGTGGCAGGGACGTCGACGGCCTCGTGCCCACCGCGTCCTCTGCCCGCGGGCCGTTCCCTTCGTCCTTGATCGTGGAGCAGCCGTCGGCAGAGCAGACGCTCCTCATCCGACCCCTGACGCTAACGTCACCCGCCACCCTCGATCTGGCGTCCAAGTTCGCCAACCAGGCGTCAGAGGTCCTGGACAACCAGTCGTTTCTGAAGTTTGTCAACATGCTCAAGGTGTTCAAGGAGGGAGGGCTGTCGCAGGAACAGCTGCTCAGCAAGGTGACGGAGCTCTTTTCCGGGCGGCAGGAAATGCTGCAGGACTTCCTCCGGTTCCTCGTGTGACCCTGGCGGGCCCGTGCTGGGAGCTGGACATGACGGGGGACTGCGAGGAGTGTAGTGTAGTGGAGAGGAGAGGGAGGAGAGGAGAGGAGAAGAAGAAGAGGAGAGAAGAGGAGAGGAGAGGAGGAGGAGGAAGACGAGGAAAAGGAGAAAGGTACATAAGTTCAACTTGGAAACGAAAAATCAAGAAGAACGATGGAAGCAGACACGTCGATGGTGAGCCCTCAAGGCACCATGAGGCCGTTAAGAGCATTCTCATACGGGGCGAGAGAATGGTCGCTGCCAGAAAATGAGAGAGGAGAGAGCAGAGAGAGC